ACGGCGCTTGCTGCAACAACGACTACTCGGAGATCTTGGCAGAGCACATCAAAGAACTTATACTAGTCGACGTGAACAGTGGCTCGCTTGTCATTCTACCCACATCGCCCCCAATCACCTACGTCGCTCTTTCGTATGTGTGGGGCAATGCGCCCATGTTTAAGACTACAACGAACAACATCAATGTTTTGCTGCAGCCAGGAGCTTTGAACGAGCCGTTGAAAAACGTAGTCCTTCCTGACACGATTCGGGATGCCATTCATGTAGTCAAGAATCTAGGCGAGCGGTATCTGTGGGTGGATTGCCTATCCATTGTTCAGGATGCAGGCTCGGAGGAGATGGACATCACGTTGCGGGCTATGGCTCGTATATACGCAAGTGCTAATCTTACCATCGTTGCAGCCGGTGGTGGAGATGCGGGACACGGTTTGAGGGGCATTGGGGGTCCCTCGACGAATCGAATTCCTGGTCCTGGTTCGCCCCCTCGCCCATGGCATTTGTACCCAGAAGGTTTGAAATGGGCGACTAGGGGCTGGACGTTTCAGGAATCACTGTTCTCGCGCCGTCTCCTTATCTTCACAGAAACTGTATCGTGGATGTGTGGACGCTGTGCATGGGCAGAAGGCACTAACGAGTTCACATTCCTAAGAGACATCTACGACCCCGACGGAATCAGGCCTGTGAGAGCATCAGACATGCCATGGCCAGCGGAGCGCCCGCATCTCGGCGTCCCAATGGGACTGATGTCCTTGATCCCTAAAACACCATCTCTTGGTCGATGGGGAATGCTTGTGGAAGATTTCTCTTCACGGGATCTTACTTATGAGAAAGACGCCAAGTCAGCATTCGCGGGTGCTACTGAAATTATGGACGCTACTTTCCCAGATGGTCTACTTCATGGCATGCCGAAGTTCTTCTTTGATATCGCATTGCTTTGGCGACCTAAGGAGTCGTATTGGCGACCCAAGAAGTCCGCAAGTAGGCGCGAAGGCGAACCTAGTTGGTCGTGGACGGGCTGGAAGAACGGGACCATAGACTGCCTGTCTGCTTGGTATCCCTTCTATGCCAGGATCTTTCGCGATACCGGCTTTGAATTCGATTGGGTCTGTATTGCGACCCTGAAACCTGTGGCAGAGTATTGGATAGCGAACGCGGTAGATGGAATCAGTTCACAGTTCAATGGTTTCTACCGATATCAAGCTCTTCGGGAAGACACTGAGGAAATACTTCCCACGGGATGGAGTCGACATCTCCACTCAGGAGGCGACTACTTTACGAATACTGCCTCTCCGCAAAGTACTAGATATCCGTTCCCACTCCCTACCATAGACTCAACCGAGCGAAGGCTACACGTTCCCTATTCTCCTGTTCTTCGCTGCCGAGCTCCGTGCGCAAACCTGACTTTTGGACGTACGATATATGACGACGATACGCACCGTGGGCTACGCAATGACAAGGAGACGATCGGTAATCTTACCATAATGTGCGATACCTTGAAAGATACATCGCAATATGGTAGTGCTTGTGAGCTTGTCGCTATCTCAGAAGCCATAACCTCGGAATCAGTGAACGTAGCAGAGGAGGGATGGCCTATCACGTCTTTCGAGAGGAGCCCGAAGACCATTGACAGACTTATGAGGAATTATGGTCTCTACCCGAAAGTATCTGTTTACAATGTCATGTGGATTCAGTGGGTTGGAGACGTCGCTGAAAGACGAGGATTAGGTGTTGTACTGAAAGATTCTTGGGACGCATTACAACCCGACATCAAAGAGTTCAATCTCGGTTGACCCACCATTATGATTTCGAACACCTCCTTTTCTTTTTGGGCTACCCTCTAATATTATCCTATGCTCGACCAATCCGCCCGGTCTATACTCACTCCTTCCTCAGTCCTCTCACCACAGTGTGAAGGACTAATGAAAAAGCTATCAAAAATTATGCCAGCGACCGCCCACAAAGAGCCATCAGACAAGACCAGTCCCGCAATGGTGCCATGCAGCTGATCTAAGCCGGTCCATGCGAATGCGTGTGCTCGCCGACCCTGACTTGTAAGTATGGAGAACAAAAGTATGGAAGCGATGCGGGCTTATATAGACAATGGGTTCAGAAGATAGACAGGTTTAGTGGGAAGGCAGCAAGAGTCAGGTGATATCACGTGAACGAATGTGAGAAAAACGATGGCGACACTAGATCGATAGCGTATCTTGAGTTGTAGGGCCGTTCGATAGTGTAGGCAGAAGCTGACATGCATGTGCACGTGATCGTAGCAGCCTACGAGGCTATCTCGTAGACTTCTTCACCCAACTTCTCATTGATTTAGTTATACCTCGACTCATGCCTTTTGACCAAATACAACATTTAAGTGTTCTAGACCTGCACGTATCACACACTACTGTGCCTCCGCCAGCCTCAACGCTTCCATCCTACTCGTACTTTGTGGATCCAGATATGGTCGCTCACCCAAGCTAACCACTCTATACCCCTTCCGCGGTCCTTGGCCATCGGTATCGTACGTCGCTGTATGGAGTACGCTTCTGTTATCCCAGATGGCGACGTCATTTGGGTTCTGCCATCTATGTCTGATCTGGAGATCGTGGTTCTCGGTGATCAGCTGGAGGAACCAGGCTTTAGTACGCTCTGATTCTTCTGCACTCAGCTCATTGATGCGCTGGACGTGGTGGCCAACGCTGTAGAGAGACTTCCATCCCGTGACGGGGTTCGTGCGGATGCAGGGGTGGACAGCGGTAAGGGAGTCGCCAGTGTTCTCCGGCGCACCTCGCGCCGCGGTGTAAACGGGGAAGTTGTTTTCTTTAGCCGCGCGGTTGAAGTCTGGTTGGGCGTATGTTGCGGTGAGAGATTCGAAGAACTTCTGATACGGTTTCGAGAGGCGGTCATAAAGGTCGTATCCTGATGCCCATAGAGTGTCTAAAGCAACTTCAGCCATGTTACTGTGAGTATGGCTACCTGTCCCACTCACCTCCTCCTGATTTTGGTAGCTGCGTCATTCTCAAGATTGCATAGTCGCTTGGTACCGGCTCGAAAGTGATATCGCTGTGCCATCCATGCTTGCCAGTCTGTGACCGCTCTTTGAAGAGTTGCTTCGCCAAATCCGAGCTAATGACACTGATCTCGTTGTCGTTGCCTCCAAGACGGTTTCCCGCGTTTCTAACTGGGTGGATATGCAGCTTGGATGTTTCTGGTTTGCCAGAAAGCTCGCCGAGGCGCTGGGCCAGCTCTTTTTGAAGCTCATCATCCAAATCATCCTGCTTGCGGAAGTAGACAACACCGCGCTGAGAAACTTTCCGAAATGTTAATGTTACGTCATTGGGAAAGCATTAGGTGTTGCTTACTTGTGATTGCCAGGTCGCGTATCAAATCGTCGGAGTTTGGCGCGCGCAACCATTCTTTCAGACTCGCATCCACAAATTCGCGGCCGATGACTGGTGTAACATCGAAAGACTCGAAGGCATCCAGAACGCCTTTGGTCTTCAGAGGCTCGCGAGGATATCCAGGCTGCGTCTTGATGCCTATATCCTCAATGGTAGTGGTGGTCAAGGTGTTCGTAGCCATGATCAACGATGTTGATTTGCACTGCTACAGGGTATTTCGCATTCCGACAGAGCGATGTCACACTTATCTCTTACTCGCGTTCGCCACATCTACTATCCCTGAGCGCATTTGCATCGAAAGACTGATGAACAGTAGCTCGTCGGCTTGTGCATTGGCATCGTAGCATCATCGCATGGATACTATGGTGCAATCATTCTCGGCACACTTATGATAGTGGCGGTAGTCGCTTCCTGCAACCACAATCTTCCATGATGCGCGGTATCGACGAGGTGTTGCGGGGTTGAGGCTACGACATGTGGGGGTGGAATGGCGTGCTGCTTGGCAGAGTCCCATTCACAGCTGGCGATGACATCGATCCGGAAATAACGCGTCGCGACCTTTCCGCGCATGCAACGGCGGATGTAGTGTTAGTATGGCAGAGATGCTTCGTTGTTCTTGCCTTCCTACCTGTAGGGTGGAGTGAGCACACTAGTCCTTGATTAGTTTGGACCGAACGCGACGCGACCGCGACTTCCCAGCCCCTTGCTATTTCGAGCTGCGTCATTCACGATAACATCGCCGGCATGTACAGGAACCTTTAACCGTCTCAATAAAGGCATCGCTACCCTTACAAGGTACTCAGATTGCTAAGTGCAAATTTCGCGTAGGCTATTCCGACAGTGTCTGACGACATCTTCGCCATTCTCGCAACATACCTCGCTACGATGCACCGGCGATCAACGACGGATCCTCTTCTCAAAACACTGATACCGACCCTTGTATATGACAATCGAAGTACACCAACAGCGTTCATACCAAGCCCACGGAGCCGAGGGTGGACTTTTCGGAACGAATCTGCCAGCATGGATGTCGTATCCTTCCGATGAACGGCTGTTGTAACGATGTTCAGAGACTCCGACTGATCTAAGACGATAGTGGAATATACGCTATCGTGCGACTGACCTTTCGCATGCGGTCGATTTGTAGCTGCACTGTCTGTTTTCCTACGCCATATTGTGATTCACATGTGGCCGCGGAAGGCATTTTCTCGACTCAGATCGCAGGGTCATGGCGGCATCAAAGTGTATCATCAACTGACCTATCAGTGTATCTCTGGCTGGATATGTATGCACTGTCAATGAAGCTCCTCGCCTGCAATCATTGGTATCGAGTTTCTGTCGCATTAACGTCATTCCTTATCTATGGCTTTCATAACCAAGTCTCTCGGCTTTCAGAGCCTTGTCTAGACGGTAAGGTTCTTCATTTTAGCGCATGTTGTCACTTGTACCCGGGGTTGCATCATCTGTCGATACGGTTCCTAATTATGGACATATCCGGTCCCTTATAACACTCCCTCGGTACATTCGACAATCAGTACCGACCGATTGGTCTAAGCCAGATCAAAACGAATCACGAGAAGAAGTCCGCTTTCATCTATCCTTGCAGACATGGCTGCATCTACACCAGTAGAAAAGCAGGCCCCCATCACCGAAACCGCTGACCCAAGGTCGTCACACGGCTCGAAATCACCACCGCCGCAACATGGCTCACACGAAGACCATCCGTTCAGCGACCCGGTAACGGCTCAGCGCTGGCGTCAAATATACGAAAATGCCGAGTACGAAGGACGTCATCGGTTTGACCCAGCGTATACATGGGAAGTTGAAGAAGAGAAACGTCTAGTCAAAAGGGTGAGTAGATGAAGGCATGGCACCGATCAGGGCTGACACTCTCGATGTAGCTGGACTGGCGTATAGCTCTTTGGGCATGGATCATGTTTATATCGATGGAGTTGAATCGAAGGAACATCAATCGAGCGATCTCAGACAATTTGCTGAAAGACTTAGGTGTGTAGTACCTAGATGACGCAAAACATATGGTAGACCACTGACTTGGATCAGGCATGAACACAAACGACTATAATTATGGTCAGACTGTAAGCTTAATACAGTTCGTCACTCTCGGAACTCTCGTTGACGCAAAGCTAGATCTTTCTCGCTTCTTTCCTCTTTGCCGAACTTCCCAGTGGCCTGATAAGCAAGAAGCTTGGTGCTGATCGGTAAGTCCATTTCGCCTATTCACCGTCTTGTCAGGATTCAACTACTAAACTCATGACAGGTGGATCCCAACCATTATTTGCATTTGGTCCATTGTCAGCGCTTCACAATGCGCCATGAAGACCAAAGCTCACTACTTTGCTATTCGATGCATCCTTGGTCTTCTCATGGGCGGCTTCATCCCAGACATCGTCCTCTGGTTGACATACTTTTACAAATCCAATGAACTTCCACACCGGCTAGCGTGGTTCTGGACTGCGCTGAGTACTTGCAATATCGTCGGCTCTCTGCTTGCAGCAGGTATATTGCAGATGCGAGGACTTCATGGCTGGGGAGGTTGGCAGTATTTGTGAGCTTCCAATGCCGTGTGGTTCAACTTGCACCATTACTAACACAGACAGGTTCTTAATCGAAGGCATCATGACTCTAGCCATCGGCATCCTCTCCTTCGGCCTCATGCCCCCTGGCGCCTGCCAAACGCAACACTGGTTCCGCGGCAAAAACGGCTGGTTCACCCCACATGAAGAGTACATTCTCGTCAACCGCATTCTCCGCGACGACCCCTCAAAAGGCGACATGAACAACCGCCAAGCAGTCGGCCTTCCGCTCCTCTGGAAAGCAGCGTGCGACTGGGAACAATGGCCCCTCTACATCATCGGCCTGACTGCTTACGTCCCACCTAACCCGCCGCAAAACTACCTCTCGTATATCCTGCGCCAACTCGGCTTTTCCGTCTTCGAAGCCAACTTACTTGCCATACCCAGCCAGTTTCTCTACGCCATCCAACTTCTTGCCGTCACGTGGCTATCTGAGAAGTTCAAAGAGCGCTCCATGATATCTAGTCTATCCAACATCTGGATCTTCCCCTGGCTCGTCGCTCTTGTCGTTCTGCCTGCAGACGCAAACCCGTGGGTCAGGTATGCGCTCCTCACAGGCCTGCTGTCTTATCCGTACTGCCACGCCATCCTCGTAAGCTGGAACGCGAAGAACTCAAACTCTGTCCGTACACGCGCCGTCTCTGCGGCTTTCTACAACATGTTTGTGCAGTCGGGTAATATCATTGCTACTAATATTTATCGCGATGACGATCAGCCATTGTACCGCAGGGGCAACAGGATCCTGCTGGGTATCTGTGTGTATAACGTTTTCTTATTCTATGCGGTAAAGGCGTTTTACATTTGGAGGAATCGCGTAAGAGATGGGCAATGGAAAGCTATGACCAAGGAAGAGCAGGAGGATTATGTTTTCAACACGAAGGATGAGGGGATGAAGAGGCTGGACTTCAGGTTTTCCCACTGATGAGAAAGCGCATGGATTGATGTTGATACCAGCGCCCGGTTCCGTTCACTCAGCGTCCATGGCTTCCCCGTTATCTTTGCGCCTTGGTCACGATGAATTGCGATTGGTTGATGGCTTATAACGTGGCCGGCGCAAATGGCGCCCGATAGCAAACAAATCTGACGGAAATTACTAATATTCAGTCTACGTAGGCCTTCCTAGGTGACCGCGTACAGACCGCCAGTGTGAATCATCTTGGCTTGGCGCAAACACTTTACTCATGAGCATAATAAATGTCTTCGTGACCGAGTCCGCCGACACTCCTACACCTCACACTTCCGATTCTAAATCTAATATGTCTTTCTCTTCTACACCCCGCATTGGTGGCGCCTTCCAAGATATCTACAATAGCCCTCACTACTCTGGCGCCGGCAGCGGCAGCGGTAACCAGAGCACGGTCTTCAATCCGCCTCAGTTCCCTGCTCCAGCCGCGACAACTATCAACACTTCGGTCGCTCCAAGTGTGAGGCAGCGTCTCATCGAACTCCTCCATCCGTTCCGGGGCGACTTCATCAACTTCGTCGCTACTGAAGCCACACTTCATGAAAGGAAGGTCCTCACTCTCGCCGGTAAGTGTATTTCTTGACCTTCTCTCACTTGAATTACTCTTCTCCCTGCCTGAATACAACCATGTTCTACTACACATAACTAACAATTCTATCAGGGAACCTCGCTGCGATCATCCACCACAAGGAGGCTCAATACGGCGAAGAGATCAAGGCGAATCATGTCCACGTCTTGAGTCGCAATCTTCAAGCCCTCAACGGTCAGGCGTGTATCAGTATCATCGTTCAGGCAGGTGGCGTGGCACACGAGGTCGTCAGTGTTGAGGTTGAGAACAGGGACACTGCCGTTGATGCGCTCACTACCAAGGTGGATGACATGATCGGAACTTTGTTCCTGGAGGCTTAGGCAGCGGATAGGGAAAGAGTGGTGATAGAGAATATGAAAGGAAGCGATGTTGGCTTATACAGACGATGGGCTGGGGGAATATGCAGACTCAGTGAGAAGGCGACAGGGAAAATTCATTTGCTCAAGTCACCACAGTATTCAACTTGCTTTTCACTGTTTTATTCGTGAGAACCTTAGCGTTGAACGCAGTACCCGATGTACGACGTGGGCCTGAAGGATACTATTTCATACTTGACGCTGTACCTGGGGTATAGCTACGGTTTGAAGAGTACAATAGAGCTCAAGTATGGTAGAAATGACTTCCTTGTCTCCCTTGAAAGCGACATTCCAACTTCTCAACTCGTTTGAGCAGGTGACGCGCAAATCTCATCTCCTGCCGTCTATCTTCGTATGCGGAGTACCCTGTCTCCACACCTCTAAGGGCACCTTTGGCAATGCGAAAGCGTTCCTCTTGAGCCCTTATGGTGTAGTATCCCGCCTCAAAAGCGTCTTTTGCCGACGGCCACAGCTCTGGGTGGAGTTCGCGGTTCTACCGTCGTTCAGCGAGCCACTTATCTGCCTCTGCCCAGACCTGCTTTGTCGCGTCTGGCACAGTAGAGTTATTCGCGGACTTGACACCGGCACATATGGCGTCCCATAGTGAGAATGCGGACTTGAGATCGCCAGCGAGGTTAAGTGATTGCGGGAAGTAGCGTTCTGATGCGGTTTGAATAACACGTGACTTGGTCGTTGGGGAGGTCGGATCGGCATCGCCAGTGAGAAGCTCATCGAGGTACGACTTGGCTGCTATGCTAAGCGCACAGTTGTTGGGCAGAAGGAATGGAAGCCTAGAGAGCGTTAGTTTATCAGACTCGAGTCATTGTGATTCGGGACGACTAACTTCATCGCAATGACTGGTATATCAGCATGTCTAGTGCAGCAACCAGTACAGAACATTTGTGTGGCGGCCACCTCGATGATATCTCGAAGTGACTGACGGACTTTGTTGATGATGGAGTTGTAGCCGAGCAAATGTTGACTGAGAGGTCCGGTGAAACCGATCGGACGATGGTGCAAAGTACCTAAGCCAGCAACACGAGACACTAGCATATTGTACTCCTTGTCGTTCGCTAGGCGGCTGTCAGCTATGCAGGACTTGGTCAAGGGCTTCCCACTTACTGCTACCACGCATTGGTGCGCCGTTGTACATAGAAAACATATCGATGTCGGAGTTCAAGAGGCCCAGCCGTATCAGTTCGACCGCGATCACTGCAGCCTCTTCGTGCTCTGGCTTGCCCTTTAGGCCAGCGATGATAGAAACAAGGATTTTACCCCATTGTGTCAGATTATGGCTCTTGGGGTCGATGTACTCCCGTAGAGCGAGGAAGCGCCATATCGAGTTGTACAGTATCTCGGAAGTGGAAGAAAGGGGATTCTTAGGATCTTTCTTAGTGACCGATTTGGTGACGAAGTCGGAGTTTTGCAGTGATAAGATGGCTGCACCGAGAGTTCCACAGTCCTATCAGAATGTTAGTATTGGCCCGTCAATTCGGTTGCGGCTTTGCTAACCTTGTACTGTCCGACAACATCCTTGAATGTAGCTTCCTTCACGTTCCAGGTGTCAACGAGCGAAGGAGCTATGGCTTCTGATGGCTTCTCGACAGGGATGGTTGTGGATGTGCGTTTCCCATTGGGTTCTACAGGAGAATACCAATGCGTCTGGTGCAGAGACTGGTGCCGATACCAATTATGTAAGGTACTAGACAAAAGGTTGACAGCGGGTGTTCGAAGTGGGATCAGCTTGGAGCTGACGAGATCCCTATATTCTGGAGAGAGGCCACCATCCATGGGAGGGACTTCGAATACCTCGCAGGTAGTGCGCCACTGGATGATGTGCGGGCTGATGAGACCTTTCGACATGTAGTGGAGGATCTCGTCTGGAAGCCTTTGACCCAAATACTGACCTGCATCGTTAGGCATCGAGCCAGAGTTCCGAGGCTCGACCTTCCCTTCCTCGGTGTAGACTGGGTGATTTTTGACGGCCAGGCGTGCTTTCTGGTATCGCGTGACGTATTCCTTGCCCGCGGGCGGGACATCGTTGTTGTTGACAACCACAGAGTATCCAGACTGACCGCTGTTCATGATGGTCTTAATAGCACTGTGCGGCTTGATCAGGTCTGCCCTGTTAGGCGCGTCGAGGATCGGGTGGGTCGGGAGGAAGGGCGTGCCGGCGAGTATGCAGGTGTCGAGAAAGACATCATCTGAGATGTTGGGAGCGTTGACAAACTTCGAAAGGTCGGCTACGCATTTCTCTCGGCGGACGAAGCTGAAATGTCGGGCCTCGAAGTCCCAAGATGTTATGATTTTGGAGCATTCGAAGATGAGGATATCTGACGAGCCGTAGACGGCGTGGACGTATTCGTGTTTCTCGAGATATGCCAACTGTCGATAATTAGTCACTGCGAACAGAGATTCCAGAGATGCTTGCCTGGGCCCAGGCGCTGTATGGCGCGACTGTCCAACGAATGTTGCGCTCGGTCAGGGTTGACTGTAGGGCGCGGAAGAGGTCCTCGGGCGTGACGTATGCTGTGAAGAGTCAGCACGATACACAGTATCATCTTGACGGCGACCATACTTGACTGTCCGAATTTAGCGACGGAGGCTTCCGCCTCGTGACTGTCGTACAGAGTCCACGCATTGATGTTTACCGATGCCTCGGTCTCCTTTTGCCTAAAAGGATCATCGTGTTTTGTAATGTCCAGCCCGCTGAAGACGAAGACGGGTTCGATGTCGAAGCTGCGGAATTGTGCGAGATCGTCCTCAATGTGTTGTGTCAGGGCCAGCGGAAGGCCTCCCAGCGCAGGCACAAGCGGCTCCTTTGCGCGCGGGTGATTGAGGATGCGCTGGTTCAGATATTCGGCGGCTTCGATGCCTACGCGGCAACCGCGCAATTGTTCGAGCTCGCCCGTTTCGCCCAGTGTGGCTGTCCATTGTACGAAGTCGCGGATCATGGTGCCAGTCGCGTGGTGGGGCTGTTTGAAAGTAATGGGAATGAAGGATTGATAATGAACGGAGACGATGGCAGTAAAGTCTCGAGTAATACTAAGAGATTAGTCTGGCGTGGTTACTGTATGTAGCGACGACGTGTGGTAAAGTTGTAGAGGGTTGCGGGGGTGTGGACAGTAAATTGGAAGCTCCGATGCAGCTCCACGCCTTGGCAACTACACGATCCCTGATCAGCCGGGCGCTAGCTCAGGTACAGCGTCTAGCCGTACGAGGGAACGCAATCGCGCCGAGTAGAGGGATGAATGACGGGTAGGCGCAGAATTGAGGTGATCTGCTTCCGTAAAAACACCCCAATTCGAACGTGGCTTCTCTGTTGCTCTCTTAGTGCCTAATCGCGTCTCACGTCCCACCTCTGCCCCTCACCTAGCGTTACTCCAGGCTTTCACGCGTCACATCTCACTCTCTCTCCAAATGGCTAGTTCAGGACACCACTCGGAAGCCATACCGGTTATTGATATCTCAAGCCCCTCCGAAGACGTCGCTCGGCAAGTGTTGGACGCGGCTTCCACACATGGCTTCCTCTACATTAAGAACGATGGTGTGACCATCCCACCCCAGGACATCGATGACATGTTCAAGTTGGTATGATGTGTCGATTGTCCGAAACTAAACTTGTTGGTTGATGAAAACAGTCTAAGGAGTTTTTTGCCGCTCCCAAAGAGCAGAAATCGGAATACGCAATCCACTCTGAGAAAGCAGGGGGCATAAACCGCGGGTGGGTACAGATGCAAGGCGAATCTCTGGATCCTGAAGGTCAGAAGGTGATTATCAACAAAACAAATAATGAGACGACCTGTTGACGAAATGAATGATAGCAAGGCGATCCGAAGGAAGCATTCAACATCGGGCCCCCAAACCCAAACCTCCAACCCCTACCTTCACCTCTCCAGGACTCTTCCAAGTTGATTACCCGCTTCCAACATTCCTGTCACACCCTCTGCACCCAAATCCTCTCTCTGCTCAACACCGCCCTCCAAATTCCCGACCCCAAGTACTTCAGCACGCGACACGACCAATCTCTCGGCCCATCCGGCACCATCTTCCGCATGCTCTACTACCCATCCACCCTCTCCCAAGGAAAAGGTTCCAAGCAAGGCGAAACCAGTATCCGTGCAGGTGCACACTCGGACTACGGTAGTCTAACTCTCTTGTTCCGTCTTCCGGGCCAGCCCGGCCTTGAACTGTCTACGCCTTCAGGGTGGAAGGCAGTGCCGGTGAGCCCATCGCCATCGTCATCGCCTCCAATCCTGGTCAACATAGGAGATTTACTGTGTTATTGGACCAATGGTATGCTGAAATCGACAGTACACCGTGTTACTTTCGAGGGTGGACAGGAGAGATACAGTATGGCGTACTTCTGCCACCCGCTGGATGAAGCAAGGTTAGACGCTGTACCTAGTCCCGTGATAGAGCAGTTTGGCAACAAGGGCGAGGAAGAGTTGAGGAGTCAGAGGAAGAGATTGGAGTTGAGAGAAGACGGGCTTGGAGAGGAAGTGATAACAGCCAAAGGGCATTTGGAGAGACGACTGAAAGTGACGTATGGGATTTGATAAGAATCAGATCCAATTGGCAAAAGGCATTACTATCAAACGCCTGCGCTATGCTCCCTCGTTTACTTCAAAGAACACCTCGCTATGCTTTGCGCCCTGTAATGCAGACAGTTCCAAAATAACTCCCTCCACATACACCACTTACATCATGTACAGAGAGTCTTCTTCACCCTCGCCTCTTCCTACCCGCCCTTCCCGTAGTATTCCCTCCAACGTCCTTCACGACGCCAATTCCTTCAACTGCCACGCTCTTCTCCTGCATAGTCCCACCTAGCTTCTTGATCATCTGCTCCCTCGCTTTCGCAGCACCAGGAGAATCCCAACCTAGCTCCTGGCTAGGCTGGTATTCCTCCACCAGCACCGTGTTCTCCTCTTCTTCCTCTTCTCCAGCCAGAATGTTCCCGGAGCTATCACCCGCTGACGCGTTCGACCGCGTGGACGTTGCGCGACCAAGCTGCCGCCTCTTCCGCGTCTTGCCAGGTGCCTGATCGACAGACGTTGGCACGGTCTTGCGGTTTGCGCGCATCTGAGCTAAGATGGAAGAGTAATCCTTTCCTTCTTCCGGTCCTTTTGCCTTTATTGTTTCTTTTTCTTTTGGTGCTTCCTGTGGTACCGACTCGGTATCCGCCGGGATCACGGAGTCGGGTTCAGGAACAGGAACGACCGGATCTGGGATCTGACCAGCCTTGGACTTGCGGGGTGCCGGGGCTATGAGAGACTCGGCCGACGAACTCCTGGGTCGTGAGAATGATTTTGAGGCATGCGGGGACGTTGATGGGCGGCGCGGGGAGTTGGCGCTGGTTTCTTGGAGGGGGTGGGAACCTGCGCCATCCAATCCAGGTATGACAGACTCATCATCATCGTAATTCAGGCCGTTAGTATCATTGTTGGAAGTATCCGCCTCATCTGTAGTTGATGCAGGCGTTGCATCTGCTGGTGCAGTGAGAGCAAGAGTACCACGCTGCTGTGGGTGCAGAGACGTTTTCACGGCATTGGTAGGCTGTTGCTTTTTCTGACGAAGCTCAAGGCTCTCTTCCGTGGACAACAGTGCAGTGGGCACATCATCTTGTGGTTGAGGCCTCTGTTTAGGCTTCTGTGGCTGAGGCGGCGCTGGCTTGTTCAATTGATACTCGGCATACGACTGTAGCCGACCACTACGCAGACAATCCCAAAGCCATGCGGCATGAACAGCGGGTATCCGTTTGTCCGTGGCGAATTTGAGTTTCGGTGTGTTTATGGTAGGAGGGTTGCAGATCACAACCGAGGTCTTCGCCGATAGCTGTTCATCGTACGAGGCACCTGTCAAAATTGTCAGACGATTTCAATGGAGGCGGAGCTGATCCCGTACCCATAAGCGTGACAACTTTGGTCACATGCAGTAACTCGATGCCGGAAAAGCCCGTAGAGTTGATGGTGAGTCCAGAGAACCCTGGCTACGTCAGCGACCAATAAAACAACCGTGGAGCACGAGCTTACCGCTGATACTAAGCTTTTCGAATGGTCGACTTAACACATCGTCCGACGGATCTACTAGACGTTTGCCATACAGGCAGCGCTCGACCCACCAATTAGTGGCCAGGTTTATGTGTTCTCCGGCACGCCCCGGAAGTGCCGCCGAATCGACCTCGACGTCATGTGGTATTACGAAGTAGCCTCGTCTTAGATCGTCGGATGGCGCATTGTTGAGATCGGTCGCATGGATTACGTGCGCGCCGTTGCTCTCGAGGTGTTGGCGCAAAATGCTTGTCTAGCGGGAACGTCAGCTAGGGCTGAAATGTAAGATGGTATGACAAACCTTCTCTGCATCAAAGCCATGCGTGCATACGAGTCGTCCTTGAAAGATGCCATCATGTTGGGACACATCGTTCGTATGTGGTGGCAATGATGGTTCATGACTGTCTGCATTGTCATCAAGGTGCGCCTCGATAAGCGAATCATTCTCATGGACGGATGCATGTCTGTGAGGGGACGCTGGGGTATGTGTGCGAGTGCTTGTCCGCGTACTATCTGGCTTAGTAACGATTTCCTCTGTCCATTCATCCTCATCAATCGGTCGTTCGAAACTGGGCGCTGTGATGCCCGCCCAAAAGGCATCACTTTGGCTGCCAACCTTGGTACTTGCTGAGCGACGTAGCTTCCTGCGGAAAGGATTCAGTGCCTGACTCGGCTCTGCATCTCGTGTGCGCTTGCCTATGGCGGGCGACGCGGGCATTTTGCGATCCCAAGCACCTTGGCCGCGCTCTTCGACAGGCATGGTGGGGTTGTAGAGGGCTTCGTCCAGCACCATGCCCCTCTCCAGACTTTGTTCGAGCCACTCCAGCGACACAATCTTCATCCTCCAATTCAGGGCGTGTTCGTACTTTTTGCCCGATGGCGCCGCTGCGATGAGGTGGGTGACGGACTTGGTGAGGTCGCCGTGGTACTCGGCTCCGTTGGCGTCCACTGACTCCTGAATGGTCTTGCGTTGATCGGCTGTAGTAGTCAGTATCGTCGTGTGCATTTAGAGCTCGCGACGTACGGTTGTCGAAGCCGGTAAGGCATATCTTCAGCCCAGCAAGCGTCGGCATGCGGTACTCCTTTTCCAGCGCGGCCATGTCCAGGTCGTCATCGCCGGTCATCCACACCTCCCTCAAGGCTTCGAGCCACTCCGGAGAGAGGACCTTGACGTCCTCGCGAGACTTGGCGACATAGCGGTATTTGGCGCTGTCGGTGCTGCCGACGATGAGGTGGGTTACGTCTGATGTGAGGTCGAGCTTGATGGTCGCGCCCATCTGCGCGCCAATAGCTGCGAGTTTGGCCTATCTGGTCATTAGAGACAGCGAGATATCAGCATCTGGAGTAGACGTACGCGCTGCTCGGGGGCAATAGAGGTGCAACAGAGGATAGCCCCAGCAAGGGGCAATTGGCCTGCTCCTGCATCATGTGAGCATGTGTATGATAATAATGAGACCCCATGTCCTACCATAGCCTCCATCATGCGCATCCATTACTTGCAAAGTCGCGGTGTCGTGTGCTTACGCCGAGCGAAGCGCGTCTGAGCTAAGCCCTGCCCTTCGCCAGACGCGTTGCGGGGAAGCCAGCGTGGTCACGTGGTGCCGCCTCACGCTCGCCATTCCTTCCGCACTGCCCGCCCTGCCGTGTCCGCTCCTCAACCCTCCCCCAGATGCGCCGAATCTCGCACATGCCACGAAAAAAAAAGCTTTCCACCCCACTGCCGAGGATCCACCGCAGCCAGAATGACGACTGCTTCGTTCCTGGCCTCGAACTTGAGGGCGGCTGAGTTGGCAGCCCGCCCTGTTCTTTGCGCCGATCTGCCCACTCACGTTTGCTGTAACTCCAGATTCAGAACCCCAGGCGCTGATCACTACGCGATTGGGCCGTCAGGTTTCTTTTCGGCGATCGTGGGAGGTGACGCCCTGTTTATGTGGTTGTTCTGATGCACCACGGCACAAGATGCCCGGGCATGATCTATCATCTGTTCGATAGTTCCAAAACAAGGAAGACGAACTCTCCGCCCATGCGCTGGCGGAGCATCGCTTGGTCTGTCGCGAGATTGCGCGTTGCCCATGCCCAGCGTGGCTCTGCCATCTTGGAGTCTAAGCGATGCCATATCCTGTCAGCTATCATGGGCGCGTGCTCGCATACATACTGTAATCAGTGCCTGTCGCCGCTTTGCCATCCGTGCGTGCGTAGTGGCAGGATGAAGCATGCCTTGTCGTCGTCGATCAAGGTAACGTGCCGGGTATGCCGTAGTCGGTCGCTAGCCGCCAACGGGTCTAGAAGCAGCCTGAGCAGATGCCCATTGAGATCTGACCCCTGCATCGAGTCTTGCAGACTCTTGGTGCTCAGCATGATGTAATGCATCCGAGCCTCCGTCCGCGCAAGCTACTGCTGCGCTGCCATGCCGCTCCTAGTAACGCCTAGCACGCTCATATACCCGCTGCGGGAATATCCTGCCCTGATGCGCTGCTTGCACGCCCTCACGACCATTCCTTACCCCATCCGGGTACCCACTGATATACCTCTGCTAGAGCAGTAGCAGCCCATCTCAAATTCATCATCCTAGCTGCTGCGACCCCGCCGACCAGCAGCGCTGCACACCGTCCACCGTCCGCGTCATCCGTCTGTTCCCTGCAAACTCGACGCTCGCACTCGACGCCGGTACACTTTCGCCGTCCCTGCACTGCCCTAGTCTGACATGCTCGCGTCCTCGTAACATGCCTGCTCGCTGGCTAGCTGCAACTCACTTCAAAACACCCGCGAGTTCCTGTTATTCGCCGTTGTTGTCCTGGCAAGAAACTCCTCTCCGTCGCCAGCGCAAACCCTCGCTCCAGGGTATTCCCGCACGCTTCCGACGCACCGGCGACTTCACCGCTCCACTCCCCTACAGTGGCCTGTCGTGCTGATCGCATTTACACATCATTAACTAGGTAGCCTCACCCACGCCTTTGGATACCCTGTCTCTGCTCGTGAGTCCTTGTCTCATCTCCCCCTTCACCGCGTTCGGGCCCTTTGTCCTAGTAGCGCCCAACCTCAACGTCCCTTCCCAAAGCATCCATATGGAACCTGCTTGGGTTACCGTGGTCAAGAAGCCTTTGTACCCCTCTCATGACTCTGCGGTGTTGCACAAGCCAAATTCTTCTCTGCTTCCTGAATTACACCTCGTATAAGACACAACACGCCGCATGCCTTGTCACCACACCTTGATCCTGTCCTCCACCTCCACTTCAAGTCACTAACGCATCGTCGCTATGCCAGAGTACCACACCGTCTACTCTGAACGTGGCCGATTACGATATCTACCCGACCACTTAGACACGCCCAAGAAAACCTACCGCGGCATCTTTGCTGGCCGCAATCGCAGACCGCACCGCATTCACATCGCACACGTCGGTCCTGATCCGACTTTATTTCGCAGCCAGAGGCGCCAGACGACTAGTCAGTCGTACTTCACAGAAAAGCTGGCGGCCCCACGCGACGGCGCTAAACGTTTCCTACGGTCGTTTATCGACACCCACTTTTCCTCCAAGCCCGAAACTACAGACATACCTACCCCTCAATCGTCGACGACTCCAAATAGCAGCAACCGCAACTCCGTTGCCTCTGTTCCAGAACCACGCACCGCCGACATGCGGTCGCTCACGAGGAATTCTGGCAGCGGCGCAGTAGGCGCTATCGGAGGCACATTGGCTGCAGCAGGCATGCCGAGACCATCAGTCGCCGAGTCACATTGGTCTTCCGGTCGTGCATCTGCAAAGAGCATAATCTCCAATGTCAAGAGCCTGCCAGAAGAGAAGCCAGTGGCTTCAGGTGGTGGCGTCAGTGTGAACGTGCAACTCACAGAGCCGGTTTTGTTTCTACGGGGTTTCGAGCAAGCCGAGCACGCAGAGCGAAGTACAGCTATGCTCCGTGGAACACTATGCTTGAAGATTTCGAAACCCGCGAAACTGAAGGCTGTGACGCTCAAGTTCAGAGGTAAAGCGACGACCAAGTGGCCAGAAGGTACGTTCGTTCATCGTTTTCCTCGTTCAAACTAACAATACTTAGGCATTCCTCCAAAGAAGGTTGAATTCGAAGAGGTGGATACTCTGATGAGCCACACATGGCCATTCTTTAACTCTCAATTCCCCACTGCCGAGAACGGCACTGGTGCAGATCACGTGGAGCTCTACAAGGGCTCTAACGGATTGACTGGATCGCCAAACAACTCTTCGCTGAATTTAACGACAAAAGAGGCCAAAAGACTATCGCTACAAGTCAACCAATCGCGAAGCTTCGGTAAGGGCGACACCCCTGGAGGCGGCCCCTCGGTAGCACAGAAGGGTTACAGGACCTTTAACCCCGGAGAGTACATGTACAACTTCGAGCTGCCTTTGGATAGCCACCTTCCCGAAACCATCGATGTCGACCTTGGTTCTGTCAAGTACGAGCTGGAAGCGACTGTAGAACGCGCTGGCGCCTTCCGCACAAACCTCATGGGAACAAAGGAAGTTACCCTGATCCGCGCGCCATCAGAGGGGTCACTAGAGCAGGTCGAGCCTATTGCGATCAGCCGCAGCTGGGAGGACCAATTACACTACGACATCGTCATCTCCGGCAAATCCTTCCCACTCGGCGCTCAGGTTCCTATCGCTTTCAAGCTGACCCCACTGGCGAAAGTGCAATGTCATCGTATCAAAGTGTTTGTCACGGAGAACGTCGAGTACTTCTGTAACAACAAGCGAGTGCATCGAATGGAGCCTGTCCGTAAGGTTCAGCTGTTCGAGAAACGGGCGGATGGCCCACCGACCAGTACATTCCCCGGCAGTACGATGCGGATAGTGTCTGGAGGGGGTGTCCCCTATGACCAGCGGGCAGCCGCTTCTCGAGGCGAGGACGTGCAGGTGCAAGATCCCACCAACCTACTGGGTGATCTTGGAGGAGATGCAAACATCGGGCCCACAGAGATGGAGTTCAATGTGCAACTGCCAAGCTGTCACAACCTCAAAGAGAAGGACAAGTCATCCAAGTTGCACTTCGACACCACGTACCAGAACATACAGGTGCACCATTGGATCAAGGTACGTCTAATCTTGGGTTTCATTGTCGTACACACTAACAATCGACTAGCTTGTCATGCGCCTTTCGAAACCGGACGCCACCGACCCGACTAAGAGAAGGCATTTCGAGATCTCGATCGATTCGCCCTTCCATATCCTTTCGTGTCAGGCTACGCAAGCCAACACAGCACTCCCAGCGTACTCGTCGCCCGAACCTGCCCTGAGCGGCACACGGGTACCCGAGTGTGGATGCCCCAATGCACCATCCCGGCGCAACTCACCGACCAGCTTTGTACCTACATTGAGCTCTCTGGGTCGCTCGAGAGGGAACTCGGACGCCGTACTACCAACACCATCACCAAATCTCACCCGCCCGCAAGCAGCACACATCGGCGGGCCGAATGACTCCACGGTGCAAAGACCCATTCACCTCATGCGCGTACCCTCTTTCAACCCACCCGCATTTTCGGAAATAGAACCACCACCTCCTCTGGAAACCCCACCTCCTCTATACGAAAGCATCGCATCGCCGACGAGTGGTCTGGCCGATTACTTCTCCCGTTTGTCTGATGCATACGACGATTCTGACAGCGACCCCGAGCGCAACGACCGAGCGCGCGTCGAGATCCCCCTGACGCCAGGAGGTCGCACCGCCAGGAGTATGGACGAGCGCCGAACTTGGTTGCCTGTCGGCCACTGAGCATCACCATACTCCCATGACGTCATGTGTTACGTTCTCTTTCAAGTTCATGCATATACATTTTTACTTACATTTACGACGTTTCTCTTTTCGCTTTTAGGCGGTCTGTGCATTCATTGTCTGGGAGATTTAGGGAATTCCCCCGGTACCACGGTGCATTCGGAAAATTCTGCAGCGCATTTTCGTTACTGTCGCATTGCTCGCTCTCGGGCTGTTTCGCGTGTTTGGGTCAAGGGTTCGCTGGGATGTTCCTTCGCTGGACCAGGCGCTTTGTTGTTTCATGGGCACAAGCTTCATGTTAGATGGGTGGCCCTTAGGTCCCCAACTTCGCGCTTTCACATTTCCCGTAATCATCATATCTAGTCGACCACATAGGTTGTAAATATCACGACGTACATATTATTCATATCCATGACCATTTACGATGTGCATTCCTCTGAGCTTGGTTGCCGCGTGCAAGGGGTGTTGAAGAAAGTCAGTTCCGAATGACTATCTCGAAGTGCTGTCTTAACAGATGTATTGTTACATACGTCCATTAGAGTGATGTGCCGCGCAAAAGGCAGAGCCATGTCGCATGTTCAAAACATGAAATTGAGCCAACATACAGAATCTATTCTCGTCCTCTTCATAGCTAATCTCACATACCTTGCTTCAGCATCCTTCATGGCCGTTCATTGATACACAAGAACCAACTCACACGTCACGAACATCCATCTTTCACCCGTCATCCAACCG